CTTTTTATCCTTTCTGCGTCATTAATATCACTATGGTCATAATCGGTCGTAAAATCGTTTTTTCCAAGATGAACAAATTCCGATGAAACACACTAAAAAGGTGTTTACCGAAACCAAATCGCTTGCTGTTTCGATGGAACTGAACATTACTGCTTCCAATTTTTGCAGCAACTGCTCCAACTTATCCGGCGATGTCCTGCTATTAATCAGAGATGCGGTAAGGCCGAGAATTCGTGGTCGATTAGCTGCAATGTGTCCGACACATTTACTCGGATTATTTTTATTTAGTTAGCCATAAAGAAGGAAAAGTAAGCCAGTCCCATTATTATCCATCAGTCCACTTGCTACTGAAGCAGTTACGCAATCCTAGGCAAGATTTGGAAAATACCGGTACCAGAAAAGACGATACCAAATTCAGAAAATGCTTAAAAAAGAAATTTTACAGCATTCAATCATCTTGTTCTGTATTTATGAATTTACGCCCCTCTCGTTTATTCTAGCGTTCAGCTCCAGCAATACGAAGAAATACCTCTGTGAAACAATTTACAAGGTAGTTCTTCGGTTTGCAAAAAGCTAGTTTGTAGCGCGCAGCTAAATTCTGGATACTCTAAAACAAAAATTTTTACTACCTTATTGAAAATTTTTACGAAAGCCGCAAAACAGGCTGCCGTACGAATAGAAACTGTTTATCCTTCACACACCGTTAAAATGGTACTTTACCCACAAGAAGAGAAAAAAAAAGCCTTATGATCTCTCTGCAACTATTTTTATATTTTATGCAAATGCAAAAACGCATACTGATCAGGTCTTCAGTGCGCGTATCACTAATTCTCAACTTTGTGCCTAACCCAAAAATTAAACCGCAATATTCCAGAACTCAAATGCCAGCCTAATGACTTCAGTGGATTTCGAAGTAAATCAGAATCAAATTAACATCAACAAATTTGGCGCCTAGGACAGACTGTGTTTGTGTTGGATGCAGTCGCACACATCACCACTGATGAACATTCCAAATGCGTAAAAAACTAAAAAATATCAACGAATTATCAAACCTTTGGCCAACTGCCCGTATCGATTCATAATTAATCGAAAAGGGTGCCTGATACCCAAACTGTGGTGACATTCATCCACTATGATAACGGCAGCACGATTCATATCGAAAAAGGCATGATCCACCAAATCGAGAAATATCTGTGCTGTCATTACCAATACCTGCAAATAAAGACCGTTTATTGAAAGAAGCTAATGAAGGAAACAACGTGGAAAGGAGCCAATGCTGCGAAGTGGTTCAGATGAATTTAAAGGTAAGGCAGAAAATGAGGAGAAAAAAAAACGAAGTGAAAACAGGGTTGCATTTGGAAAATTTCTTGAATATCTTCAAGGAATTCTCCCAGTGCAATCAACGTAAAAGAGAATATGGAGAAGTTCAAAGCTGTATCGATGGCAAAAGGGAGTTTGATGTACTACTAGAGCTGATTATCTGATGGGCAAGACATATTGCTTGCTTTCCCAACAACTGCTGGGTGTTGTGAATCGGCGAGTGTTATACGCAAGGAAATAAACGAAACTATTCGGACAACGTCCGGCGAGGTGAAGCACTTAGAGAGATTATTAGGCAGTGGGTACCAACCGGATACGTGCAAGTTTAGGACCGAAAAATCAACTACAGAGTGTGGATGCATTATATTAACATCGATATTATAATTATGGAATCTTCACAGCCATTTTTACGGCAGTTTTGGTAATCTTTCTACGAAACGGACTGACGGTAGAATTTAGCGACTTCGATAATTAATAAAACTACAATATTCGAAAGAAAAATGTATGCTGAACATTCTTCGTGCTTATTTATATGCTAAAAATCGGTATTC